CAAATTTAAATCTAATGAACACGCAATTGTGGTCAACGATAAAGGTAAGAAAGGGTTTCAGGTGGCAAGAACAACTTTGTATAGTTTGGCTGTGTGTATTGAGATGTTTTGGCAATGCCTGTAACAAGTGGGCTACATAGCAGCAATTGTCTTCTATTTGTTGTTTTGTTGTTTTATTAATTTATTGGATTATCTAATTCCAGAAAGCTGGGTTTTTGTACATTTCCATCCCATGTGGAGATATGTACTGGGTATGGTATAGCCCCTCCAGCGAGGTGGTGAGGTGCCAGGATGGATCATTGCCAGCTTGTAATTGCCCAGACCATCTCTCTTAATCCAACCAACCCCCAAGGCCTGCTGTCTATCCAGTCAGAATGGAAGTGGGCATTTGTTAGCAAGGACATAACAAGGAACTGCAAGCAGCTAGAAGAGCAGCAGCACAGGAAGGCCATTTTAGTTGGATGTTCTGGGAACTATGCTGCAGAGAAAAGCAGAGCCCTCAGGGTATCCTGGCACTCACAGGCCCCATGCTGGTAGTGCCAGGATTAAAGTCCCTCCATTTCCATGCTGATTGAAATTGTGCCTTAGATGGACGTGCCTATTCAAATTCTGTACTTGTCTGCATTACTGTTTTCAGGAATGTCTTCATTTCTATGCTAACTGAAGTTGCTCTTGGTGGATGTGCACCAGCAAGAATATATTCCAGTCTCCATGACAGTTTTAGGACTTGGGAAACCTCTGGTTTGCAAGGAAGCTAAGAGCCCTGTACAGCAGACCCGCCAGGGATAGTCCCAGATTTATAGAGTCTGGCCTGGTTTTTTTATATGATCCTGGAATGTCTCCACTTTTCCTCTCTATTTTCATCAGAGAAATAATGGAGGGAGACAAATATATATATATAATTTTTTGTCCAGAGACAAAAAAATGATAAGGCCCGTTTTAAAAATCTGACTTACATCCATTCTGACTTGTAACTTTATTCCTCACAAATTCTACTGAGGTTTAGACACACATTTTTATGATGTAGCCAGCACAGTCTATTTTGGGAAAATTCCAGTCCCCTTACTGAAGGCCACGTCACCAGTCTGTCTAGTGACAAACATGGAGCCAGAGTCGCCTCCAAGAGCTCTTCTCTGTCCTTTACCAGGCTTGGAACCCTGGGCTGAATAAAAGAGGAGTCCCGATTTAGAAAAGTGAGAGGAACAGCACAGTCTTTCTGCTCTCTGACTGATAATGAGCCTGGCACATTCTTCCTTGTGAAAACCAAGAGAGATACATTTTAAACTATTAACGAGAGCAGAAAACAAATCTCTGAAAGAAATGCAAATTCTTTGCATACAGCTTTTAAAGTGATGCTTCAATATCATCGCCACCACATTCTTATGAGTAAACACAGTAACAGCTTGTCGGATGTCCACACAAAGAGAAGCAGAAATTGGCTTCT